GTGTGTACCAGTGTATTCTCCCAGTATGAGGCGGGACATGATGACAGTGAATATCGGCGCTGAGCTCTTCACCGTCTCAGCGAAGGAGACGGCCACATTCTTCAGGCTGACCAAACCCAGCACCACTGTGGTGAACCTGCAGAGCAGACAAACCAGTTCAGAGTCCCCGAGAGCGTCCGCCGTCACACCTCTACAGTTACAGCACAACCCAGCCCACTATTGTCAAGCTGAAAACAACACACACACTCATACCCCACCACATAAACAACACCTCAGCCACTGCACTGCACACATATATGCTGGATACACGTACTGAAGCGCATCCATAAAGATCATTACAGTGAGAAATGCTGCTGCTACATGGAAATAAACTATACACAAACACACTGATTATTATCATAATTCATTCAATTTACTTCAGCTTAGTCCTTTAACAATCAGGGGTCACCACAGTGGAATGAACCGCCAACTATTTCAGCATGTTTTACACAGCGGATGCCCTTCCAGCTGCAACCCAGTACTGGGAAACACCCATACACACTCATTCTCACACACACACACACACACACACACACACACACACACACACTCATACACTACGGCCAGTGTAGTTGATCAGTTCCCCTATAGCGCATGTGTTTGGACTGAAACCGGAGCACCCGGAGGAAACCCACGCCAACATGGGGAGAACATGCAAACTCCACACAGAAACACCAACTGACCCAGCCGAGACTCAAACCAGCGATCTTCTTGCTGTGAGGCCACAGTGCTAACCACTGCGCCACCTCTATTATTATTGTTTTATAATTTGAATAATTAATTATTTATTGAAATTTTAATGTTTTTACATGGTTTTATCATCTACATGAAGCAGAGTTTGCTGAAGACTTTTATTCAAGTGTGATGATATATTTACAACTGAAATTGAATATTAAGTGGGGGCGGGGTTTTGTTTTTAGCCCCACCTCTCATCTTTCACTCACAGCAACTAACTAAGGATGGGGTGTGGCTAAGCATATTTCCCTCAATCAGAATCTTCAGAAAAGAACTGCCATTGGTCAGATTTACTTTGATTAACCGCATCATCAAAACAATCAAGTGGATTCACTTACACACGTTATTCATTGTTCAAGATGTGCATTTTCAAAACAAGCATTGATCATTTCAGGCTTGACTTTATCTGCTCAGAATACACAATATATTCAGTTACTTATAATAGACTTGCCTTTATTACTGTACATCTATTCAATAGTTAACAATATATATTGTCCATAATAATCTGAATATTTAGATTTTCAAACAATAAAAACATTCATATCATTTATCAAGACACAAATCCCCCAAAAAAGCGCTCAGCCTAAATGAGTTGAAAATTCATCTTTTAAATGACAAACTACAGTATTTCAGCAATATTAAAAAAGTGCAGTGCGGATGTTTGCCAGGTTGAGAACCAACAGAAGCGAGTCTGACTATCGAGCCTTGTGGAAATATACATTTCTATCATCTAATTCCAAATGAACAATAATCTACGTATAACTGAAAAGTTATATTCTTTGGTTTTTAATTATATCATTTCATTGACATGCCAGCTAACCTTTGCCTTGCTGACTACAGGCTGAGCCAAAGTGATGCAAATTGTCAGTTTCACAGCATGGGGTGTCTATTGTTTTCTCTTTTCGATCAACTGGTCAGGCGGTTTCCGTCTCCAGAACATGATGAGATCAGGCCTGAAAAAGCAGTTTACCCTGCCGACCACAACTTTTAATTTGCATGCTTTGTTTTAGCCATATCCCCTCCTCCTAAGAACACAATATAGACATGAAATCTTTGTCTTAATTCAGACTTGTGAAAGAACTTGCAGACTGTGGACCTCTAGTAGGCTCTTGCAGACACATGGACATCTTAAAGACACTGTATGACTGCAGATTAACCAACACGTCTCAATAAAGGACTTCTGCTTGTTTCGAGTCTCCTGGACTGGGTTCTCTCTTCTTTTCACTCATTTATTTTTTTACAACAGCCTAAAGGCTGATTTAAACAGTGCTCTAAATAAAAGCAGTGGCACGCATCAGAAGGATTATTCTCCATATTAAAAGGAGATTTTGCTCTAAACAACACTTATAATTTGCTCATTAATAATCTCATGTGGAACTCTGAATCTGCATCTCATTTCAGAGTCTGCTACTGTCCACCAGAGGGCGCATTTCAGTCACAGACGCATGCTTAGAGTCTTCCTGACTGATGAATGAATGAAATACGCTGTTTTCCACCATCTGGCAACCCGGGTGCTGGAATATAATTGGCTAAACTGGCAGTGGGCGGAGTTACAGAGACCAAAACAAAGACAGCCACTCCAGCACGTAACACACATGTCCACAGCAGAATATCTGACTCCAGCATTGTGTTTCAGATAAACAAGAGAGTTCCCTGAGCATGTTTCTGAATATCTGCACACAGATGATGCTGCTTTATGATGCAGAAGAGTCAGAGACTGACATACAGCAGCTTTAATACGTTATGTTTGTTATGTGGCTCGGTCATTCCGCACAGCACGTGAATAAAGAGTGAGCGCACCTCATGAGTCCCACAAACAGCATGATCATGATGAAGTTGGAGGGATATTCAGAGCGGGATTTATGCTGGTACAGCGGACACGGCACAAACATCTGCACACAGCCGATCACCGTCGTGGACAGCATCTGGACGGCACCTGAGATACACCATAAAGACATTTAAGAGTAAAATACGCTTGGAAAAGATTCATTTCAAGTTTCATTTAAATCACAGCGGCCTCATTGGTCCACTAGTCAAGATTGACAATCACTCCAGTGGGACTCGTGGCTGTTTAGCAGGTGGGGATGCATTTTTTTCCAGGAGATTCACATAATATAGACACCCGTCCAAGTTCTGGGGTTTACACATTCACTGGCCACTTTATTAGGTACACCTGTCCAACTGCTCAATGCAATTGTCTAATCAGCCAATCACATGGCAGCAGCTCACTGCATTTAGGCATGTAGACATGGTCATTCCTCAACAACATGAAAGCATGGATCATCCTGCCTTGTGTCAGCGGTTCAGGCTGGTGGTGGTGGTGTAATGGTGTGGGGGAGGTTTTCTTTGGCTCCATTAGTACCAATTGAGCATCAACGCCACAGCCTACCTGAGTATTGCTGCTGACCATGTCCATCCCTTTATGAGCACAGTGTCTCCATCTTCTGATGGCTACTTCCAGCAGGATAACGCAGCATGTCATAAAGCTCAATCATCTCAGACTGGTGAACATGACGATGAGTTCACTGTACTCAAATGGCCTCCACAGTCACCAGAGCTCAATCCAATAGAGCAGCTTTGGGATGTGGTGGAACGGGAGATTGGCATCATGGATGTGCAGCCGACAAATCTGCAGCAACTGTGTGATGCTGTCATGACAATATGGAGCAAAATCCCTGAGGAATATTTCCAGTAGCTTGTTGTATCTACGCCATGAAGGATTAAGGCAGTTCTAAAGGCAAAAGGGTCTAACCCGGTACTAGTAAGGTGTACCTAATAAAGTGGCCATTGAGTGTGCACATATATATATATATATATATATATATATATATATATATATATATATATATATATGTGTTTATATTAATATGAATTTCCTGTAATCATGGACAGATGAAGTACCAGAGTGTGTGTGTGTGTGTGTGTGTGTGTGTGTGTGTGTGTGTGTGTGTGTGTGTGTGTGTGTGTGTGTGTGTGTGTGTATGTGTGTGTACTACTCACCCAGCATGCTGGGTTCTCCCTCCAGCAGTGAGAGGATGTATTTGTTGAGGAAGAGTGTGCAGAAGCTGAAGAAGTACCAGAGTGTGAGGTGTGTGAGTGCTCTGGAGCTCCAGATGCCGGCGTCGGCTTCGATCACGGTGGTTTCAGTGATGGTGATCTTCAGCACGGGCTCTCCGGGTGTGCTCTCGCTGCGGGACAGACACACACGCTCCGGACGCGCCCAAAACGATAATCTGGAGGACCGGTCTCCGCCGCCGCCGCCGCTCATGGTGATGCAGGACGGAGGAAAACTCCAAATAACTAGCAGACTTTACATACTAACACACACACAGAGAGAGGTGGACGTCTGCAAACACAGGATAACACACTCATTAATTTTAATGTTTAATTGGAATTCTTTCATGATTTACTCTCTTTTTACTTATTTCAAAACTTGAGCACTAAAGAAGATATCTTGAAGAATGTTGGAAACTGGTAACCATCCACTTCCATACTATTCGTTTTCCTACTATGAAAGTCAATAGATACAGGGTTCCAGCATTCTTCAAAATGTCTTCTTCAGTGTTCAACAAAACTAAGAAACTTATGTTTATATCCATGTCAGCAGTATGCCAGCTCCTGTACACATATGAATGATATTAAGCTCATTAATTACAGCTGAAACCAGATAATTACATACACTAAATAAAGGAACATAACCATTTTTTAAAAAGTGTCTCATGATGATAAATCATACTAGACGTTTACTATTTTCGGTCTGTTAGCATTACCTAAATGATTTACATTTACTAAATGCCAGAATAATGAGAGAATTATTAATTTCTAGACAGTCAAAAGTTTGCACACATTTCCTTGGTATGTTTTAGCTTTGCTTTTAAACTGTGTAACTTTGGTCAAATGTTTTGGGTCTCCTTCCACAAGCTTCTCACAATAGTTTGCAGGAGTTTTGGCTCATTCCTCCTGCAGAATTGCTGTAACTGAGTCAGATTTGTAGGCTGTCTTGCTCGCACAAGCTTTTTCAACTCTGCCCACACATTCTCTATAGGATTGAGATCAGGGCTTTGTGATGGCCACTCCAAAACATTCACTCTGTTGTCCTTAAAGCACATGTGAACTAATCTGGCAGTATACTTAGGCTCATGGTCTGTCTGAAAGAGCCATTTGTGGCCAAGTTGTGATGTCCTGGCTGATGTGTTGAGATGTTGCTTCAGTATTTCTCCATCATGTTCTGTCTTCATGATGCCATCTATGCTGTGAAGTGGACCAGTCTCTCCTGCAGCAGAACAGCCCCACAACATGACGCTGCCGCCCCCATACTGCACAGTTGGGATGGTGTTCTAGGCTTGTGCGCTTCCCTCTTTGTCCTCCAAATGTAACGCTGCTCATTATGGCCAAACAGTTCAATCTTAGCTCCATCAGAGCACAGCACATGTCTCCACACATGAGTCTATTTCCCAGTGTCATTCAGCTAATGGTAATCTGGCTTTGCTGTTGATTCTGGCTTGTTGATTTTCTCATGTTGTCACACAAGGAAGCAGTGTGTTTGAGCTTTTCCTTCAATACTATTCTACAGTTGTGCCTCACATTAACTCAAATGTTGTCAATTAGCCAATCAGAAACCTCCAAAACCTCGACATCATCATCTGAGCTTTTCCAGGGGCAGAATAATCTTAGAAGAGTTATAACCATTTCTCAAACAATATCCCTCTCATTATTCTGCTATTAAGCAGAGCAGAAACACATTTGATCATCTAAGTGTGGTATTTAAAATGCTTTTACAAAGACAGCATGCGGGAGAATGTTGTCCAGGAATTAAAAACGTGTGTGTGTGTGTGTGTGTGTGTGTGTGTGTGTGTGTGTGTGTGTGTGTGTGTGTTTGTAATAACATCCTGGAGTGACTGATTCTACAGCAGGTAAAAAGAATCAGGTCTCACCGGTTGGAGAGTTTATAGAAGTTTATTTTACCAACATTAGTGGTATTACTGCGGTCTGTTTCCTGTTGTAGACTGCAGCAATCTAACTCTGGCATTGCTTTTCATATCTGACCACTGTTTTATACAACTACAACTCACTACTAACTTTTAGAATTGTCAATTTGGGTGACACGGTGGCTCAGTGGTTAGCACTGTGGCCTCACAGCAAAAAAAGTCTCTGGTTTGAGTCTCGGCTGGGTCTGTTGGTGTTTCTGTGTGGAGTTTGCATGTTCTCCCTGAGTTGGCGTGGGTTTCCTCTGGGTGCTCTGGTTTCAGTCCAAACACATGCGCTATAGGGGAACTGATCAACTACACTGGCCGTAGTGTATGAGTGTGAATGAGTGTGTATGGGTGTTTCCCACTACTGGGTTGTGGCTGGAAGGGCATCCACTGCGTAAAACATATGCTGGAATAGTTAATCAATTCCACTGATAAATAAAGGACTAAGCTGAAGGAAAATGAATGAAAGATGTTGTCATTTTATTTATCTTCTTCCACCGCAGCCACAGGTGTCAAACGGAGTTCCTGGAGGGCCGCAGCTCAGCAGTTTAGCTCTAACCCTAATTAAACACACCTGATCAAAGGCTTGTCTGAACCTACAGCTGAGTGTGTCGAAGCAGGGTTGGAACTAAACTGTGCAGAGCTGCGGCCCTCCAGGATCTGAGTTTGACACCTGTGACCTATGATTAATATTTTGAAGTCTTTTCTTTTAAATGAGCACCTCTAATATGTTCGGTAAAATCACAACGCATACATTTCATTATTGTTTAATCGTATTACTTTTTGTATCAAATAAAATCTTATTATTACTCTTAATAATAACAAGATACAATTTATTTAAGAAACAAAAAGT